AAAAAAAATAAAATCACAAAATATCAATGGGGTCACAATCCTAACAATAGGTAACATTAGACATGTAAAATAGTGTGAAAGACACCTCCATGGGGTTCTATCACTTATGCTACAGAAGCATCACACAGTGACAACTGTGTCAAATTTATGTTCATGCTTAAATTCTAATGGGTCCTATTTTCTTTTTAAAGTCCTCATTTCAACATTTATTTGCTCACTACTGTTCTACAAGCTGTAACTATGTCTCAAGCTCCTAAATTTCGCAGACAGAAAGATCATATGACTTCACAGCAAACAAACAAAAAGGCTCCAGTGTACTTTATAAATATTTGGCACACAAACTAAAAAAATGTAGCCTTTGCTAAGCAATCAACAATAATTACAACTTACCCACATTAAAATAGAATGCACATCTCAGTATCCAATCAGAACAGGCTCCCAGTCTTTATTCTGAGAAGCTCCTAAGCTTAATTATGCTTTTGAAAGCAGCATTCCATTTTTTTTTAAAAAGGCCAGATGGCTCAGTGGGTAAAAACACTTGCCAAGCAAGCCTGAGGATCTGAGTCTGATCCTGAAATCCATGTGTCATGATGATCCTCTGCTCTTCACATGTATGCAGTAACTTGCAGATGCACATGTGCTTACACATATGCACACACACATTTTAAAAACAAAACAGAGTATTACCACTTCATCCTATTCTGAGGTCCTCAATTTGCTTGCTTTATTTTTTGAGGCTGGCCTCTGTGTGGCTCAAGTTAGCCTTGAACTCCCTACTTAACAGAGGATGATGGCCTCCTGAATCCTCTGGCTGAGATCTTTAATTTTTGACAAAGAGGTTAAATTCCTTCATGAGAAGTCAATAATCTCAACGCATGTATTTATTATATAGACAGGATCCAGCTGATGAGATGTGTCAGCAGGTACTTGTTAAGACCTGAGTTTGAACCCTGAAACCCACGGTAGCTGTAGAGAACTGACTTCTGAAAGTTGTCCTCTGACTCCCCCACACATGCCATTTCATTGCATGCCCACACTTATACACACATTCATAAAATAATCAATTTTATGCAAGTGAGGGAATCAAACATTAATTTATAAATTATCACAACACCAGCATTTTTTCTTTGATGTTATACCTATCTCCATAAACATTTAAGTCCCTCAATTAGCCTGCATTAGTAACAGACAATATTCATGCAGTAATATATAATGTGCAGAAAAAGTTCAACATACAGGACCTCACTCAAGATTCACCACTGAATAAGCTGTTGCAGGGTATGTAGTTAAGCAGAACATTTGCCTTTCAGACACAAGGTCTTAGTTTCCATCCTCAGCCCTGAGGCCAAGTGATTTACACCAATAATCTCAGCATCCAGGAAGTGGAGAAAGGTCAGGAGTTCAAGGTCATCCTTGACTACACAGAGAATCCCAGATCTGCCTGGACTTCATAAGGTTCTATCCCAAAATAAAAATAATTGGGGGGGGTGCCTCAGCATATAAAAGACCCTGCCTCCAGGCCTTTCAACCTAAATTCAGCCCACAGGTACCACAAGGGGAAAGGACAGAACCTGCTACTGAAACTGTCCTCTAAACTCTAATGTACACCAGGCCATGATCATGACCCCCACACACACACTCAAATAAAATTTAATAAAAATTTTAAGAAAGGGGGAAGAAAAGGTAGGAGAAACGGCTCAGTGAGCTGCATACAAGCCTAAAGACCTGCGTTTGGATACCCACCATCCATGTTAAAATGCCAGGCATGGTGTTGCAGGCCTGCCTGTAATCTCGTAAGTAGGAGGTAGAGACAAAAGTATACTGGGGGCCCACTGCCCAGTCTAGCCAATGTAAGCTCCAGGTTACCCGAGAAATCCTACCTCAAGAGAAAAACAGTGGATGATAAAGGAAATCACTCAAGGTCAAGCCCTGTCTGTCTGTCTGTCTGTCTGTCTGTCTGTCTGTCTCTCTCTCTCTCTCTCTCTCTCACACACACACACACACACACACACACACACACACACACACACACACACGAAAACACTATCCACACACATTTACAATCCCACCCCCCAAATTGCTATTTCTAGGTCTCTTTTCTGAGACATTGGCTGGTCTTGAATAACCTTGCACTTCTGGATACTCTTGCTTCCCCCTCCCAAGTACTGGGATTACACATATGGGTCACCAGGCCTGGTTTATGAAGTGCTAGGAATCAAATCCTGGGTGTCCTGTATGCTATATAAGCATCCTACCAATTGAGTGGCAGTGATAGACTGTTAGGTCCCATGTTTTTACAAGCTGACTCTAAACAGGTATGCTCTTGGGATTTGAACACAGGACTCTTAGCTTTAAATAGTTTATATTCTACTGCCTCAAAATACTGTCTGTCACCAGAGTGAACAAACTAACCCTATCCAAGCCTCCCTGGGCCTCACCCATCCTGCCACTTCCAGTCTGAGCTATGGTTAATCCCATAAGACTTTTGCTCTTTTGAATATAAAGTTTTCCTCCTTTGTCTAGAAAATGTTCTCAAGTCTAATGTGTTTAATGATGGAATTGTAATTATATAAGTGCCATTCAATGAAGGGTCCATAAATGTCATTCAACATAGAGGAAACACCTCAGCTGCTTCAGGCTTCACACAGGCATTCCTGTGTGTTTTCCCAGGCAGTGGCTAACATAAAAAGATGGAAAACTTGGCTAGATGTTCTAAGCAACTAGCTCCACAAAGTTCTAAAGTGTATAGAGTTTTGCCTAGGTCTCCTGTTTTCCCCACCTTCATTTTTATCCCTCTGCTCCAGGCCTCTCTCAGAGTCAATAAGGTCACTGATACCTCCATCTGTTTTTTTTTAAACCCAACATACAACTTGATACAACTAATATACACCAACAGCCTATACAAAATATACTTAAGTATCACTCAAAATACAATATTTAGCACATACTCCTTTCTCTTAGGACTTAAAATTCCCCTAAATTGAATATTTTCTTACCATCAGCATTCCAATCCTCCAAAAGGAGTTCCATAAATACAACTACTTGAGCTCCTGGAATACCATTCTCTTCACTAAGAACCCTCTAGATTACAAGGGTGACAGAAGCATGCAATGAATTCTGAACCTGTTAGATAACTCACTCAAGTTTCCTATCAAAAGGATTTAGAACCTTTTCCTGGGGGTGGAGGGTGAGATACAAATAGCAAGGGAAGGAAAGAATGGATGCCGTCCTATTACTTAAGAACTCTGAATCTAAACTCTGTTAAGATTCCTAGGAACCACTGGACTAGAACCAGAAGCTCAGTCCTTCATCTTAAAAGAGCTTTTCAGTTCAAATCTGCATAAACAAACTTTGTCCTTCAATCTTTCAACTCCTCGGCAGTTTTTCAAGGTCACTTTTCGGAGCATCGACAGAGGCCTGCATCCAGAAACTTGGGCTGCTATCCTACTTCAGCTGGAAGTGTCTAAACCTAAATCCCAATGGATCCCCTCAGGTAAATCCTTTCCTTAAGAGGAAGCAAGGGAAAGCAGATCAACACCTTCCAAACTTCTCCTCTAGCCAGGCCTGCTCCTGTACTGTCCAGAGCTGCTGCTGCCTCGCTGCTCTACACTCAATCTGCAGCAGGAATGTTCCAATGACCTTCATTCAGTATTTGCAAATAAAGAGAAAAACAAAGAACTGCTTTTTAAAAATCAGGCATATCACATATCTTAGCACATAGGACTCATGATTCCACTATTCACAAGAACTGACTTGTTACTGATTAGCAACCTCTATTAGCTTCACAACCTTAAAGAAGGGGGTAAGTACCAAGGGCAAAAGGCTACCTACACTCCTAACTTTTCTAATCACAAACTGCAGGCAAAACCCTTAAATATTTCATATTGAAAATGAAAGGCATTTTGCTTGAATCATTTTAAAGAACCAAATCAACAGCAAACAAAAATGTGATAAGCTTGTCACTTCAAATTTTAACTGGCCTCTAAACTAATCAACACATTAAACTAGCATAAACATTTACAACAAAGACTTACTCAATTGATTCTTATTAGAATCTGGAGGCAGACAGGTAAGGTAGATCAAGAAAGTTACAAGGAGAATTTCAGACTGTTATGTGGGCCTTCTCTATTAGAACCTGCATCAGCTGCAAATCATATTTTCAAACAAATTGAGAGCATTAATGTGGCTTCGATCTCTAAAAACATGTATGTCAACAAAGTGCATGGAAATAGAAAAACTCTTAAAACAACTCAGCTTATTCTGGAGAAAAGCTTCAGTGCACTTGAACAAAGGAAAATTATTTAGAAAACAGTTAAGTTTACCCACTGCAGAGACACAGTGCTTTGCTTCTGTATGCCCATGAAAATGATTAGCCTTTCTTGTCTCTGTCTCATCGATATTAAAGTAGGAAAATCCTGACTGAAGGACATGCAAAAATCTAAACAGAGCAAGGTAATCTAGGTGCACCAAGAAGGTATGCATGGAATGTAAAGTGGCCATTTTCTGAAACAGTGCAACTTGTCTATACTCTCTGAAGCTAACAGTTTCTATCATCTCAACACAAAACAAAGAATTAAACTTACCGAGAACTGCATTAATTTTACATGGAGTTATTTATATCTCCTCGGACAGGGAAAATTTAAGTCACTCCTATCCCTCCCCCTAAAAAAAGAACGGAGGACAAAAGGCAGCAGAAGATGCAGAAACCTGACTCTGGAATGTCCACTCCAGTGAAAACCCGAACAGCTGTCCTCCCACCCCCCAGCAAACTATTCGCCATTTTTCTTTGTCTTTCAGCTGACCCCTGCCTCAGTGAAAAACTCTGAGGCTCCAATGAAGCCTGCAGCCTCCTTCCACTTTAACAGTCAAAGGCATTCAATCTAGCCTGCTATTTGACACCAAACCTTGCCTCCAAAGCATTCCCATTGGCTGAGCCGTTTTATCAGCTAAGAATACAAAGCTGTGATTGGCTGTTCACGTCATCAGTTACCTCCTTTGTACACTTCCTGTTTTAAAGTTACCTTGAGAAGCAGAACAGGGGTCAGATTCTTCACTTCAAACCCAAGAACTTAAGGATTGGAAATATCCAGGAAATGCACACAGCAGACACATATGATCTCATGCGCTTCAAAAACGAGGGAGGGCAAATTTAGAATTGTTCTTAAAAGCCAAAGGAGAGGGTCGCTACACTTCCCACCCAAAGGATTTCCTATTGGCTATGGAGTTCCATTTAAAAAAAAATTGAAGGTAATTTCACTGCTTCTGATTGGCCACAAATGGTGTCTGTAAGATATCGCTACTGTAACCTAAGGCAGTAAACCAGAGAAGCAATGTGAACAAGGTTGGAAAGTTGTGACGGTCTACCTCCAGGTTTCTACTGATCATTATTAACAGAAGAATAAAAACGGGCAGGGCTAATCAAAGAAAAACACAGCCTTCTCAATAATCAAAGTGAAGCTATGCCCACACAACAGTCTTCCAGGATTTTTAAAGGTGCTTGTCTTTGATTTCATGATAATTTTAAAAGCACAGATTAATATCAAGGCTATGCATTTTATTTTATAACACCATCAAATCAAAATAGGAAGATTTGGGGGTAATATATGAAGTTGGTGGCAGAGACAGTAGCATTTCAAGAGAAGTCCACTACAATGCTCCACTTCAACTTACTGAAAATATGGAGGGGAAAATGCTTGCTATAACATCAAAACTCTGAAACAGGCATGAGAGCATATACTTTTAATCTCAGCTAACCAGCAGGGAGGATAGTGCAAAAGCACTCAGAATTCCAGTGTGGTCTACATAACAAGACCCTGGATTTTTTGCTTTGTTTGTTAAACAAGCAGCAGGAGTTATCTCAGGAGAGATTAATAGTTTTACTTGGCTCATTGTTGTTTCTAGAAACATTCTAGGGTATTGAAGGTCACCAGGGGTAACCACAGACCAACCTATAGATTGTGGGCTCTACAAACTAGCTCTTAACTGTATGACACAGATTAAGCTTGAGCCATAGTTTTCTCATCTGTAATACAGTTTGTATACACTATAGGAACTAAATGAGTTAATACATATAAAGCTCATTATGCTGTGCTTGAATAAGCATTGGAAAAAATATGAAGTGCTGAATGCCATCTAATTCTACCTTCTTGTTTTTACAGAGGACACCATGAAGAAAGAAAGAAAACAAGACTTGGGGTAATTTCTCTTCTGTGCCCTGTATTCCTGCAGCAAGCAATTCCTCAGCTGTAAAGAATTGTGTAAGAGGACTCCCAGCTGGAACTAAAAAAATCCCTGGTTTTTAGGCCGGAAATCCAGGCCTTTCACCACCAGTCACAGCCGAGGTCTGGTTATTGTTCTAAAAGTCTGCCTTTCAACCCTGTTTTTGATGTACCAGATTAAACCAATCAAGCCCCTTGCTACTTTGTGAAGGTCTTGGGCATAGTTTATTAGTTCTTGGCAGTTTACAAGAAAAACACTTCAACTCCGATTTCTCACCAGTGTCACCACAGTAGAATTCAAACCACAGTGGGAATGAATTTCCATTTGGCAACCTGACCCATTCACTTTCTCTTCCCTAGCTGATACTACTGTAGACTAAGTGCCTCATGGGATATCTGGGACTCTAACTTTCATTCTTCCCTGGCCCTGCATCTTGGCACCACACAATTGCAGCTACTCATCCTAAAACACACTCTACTCTCATCACCTAAGCGAGAAAACCTGTAACTCAGGTTATACAATTCAAGCTTCAGTGCTCTCACAGAAGAGTGAGAACTCCCGCTCTTGGCCAAAACACTCATTTCTGAATTGTAGTTGCCTCCTTATGAGCTGTTTGATTTTAGCCAAGTTACTTAAACATTCCTGAGCTCATTTCTTCATGTTGAAAATCATAAAACAGAAACAGCTCACAAGAGAGATGAGATAAATGAGAGCACTAAGCAAATCTCTAACATGGTAGGACTCAGATATCTAAACATACAATTTACTATAGTGCTTTATTCATACTCTAATTTATTTTTAAAAACATCTTTAAGCCAGGTATCGGTGGCACACGCCTTTAGTCTCAGCACTCAGAAGACAGAGGCAGGCAGATCTCTGTGAGTTCGAGGCCAGCCTGCTCTATAAGAACTAGTTCCAGGACAGACTCCAAATCCACAGAGAAACCCTGTCTCGGAAAACCAAAAAAACAAACAAACACCACACACATCTTTATTACCACAGAAGATATTCTTCCATGGCTTTCTACATATATTCCTGGTGCTCAGCATCAATATATAAATCAGGTGCACATTTGTAATCCCAGTAATCCCTGAGGCAGTATTTCCAAGAATTCAAGGACACCCTAGCTGCACAGAGTAACTACCAGGCCAACCACAGCAATACAATAAACTCCTGTCTCAAAAAAATCAATTCCCGCCGGGCGGTGGTGGCTCACGCTTTTAATCCCAGCACTAGGGAGGCAGAAGCAGGTGGATCTCTGTGAGTTCGAGGCCGGGCTGGACCGACAGCCTCCAAAACAATACAGAGAAACCCTGTCTTGTAAAAAAAGAAAGAAAAGAAAAAAAATCAAGTCCCTCCTACCCCCTGAAAAGATACAAATCAATCTTGACTTTAGCCAGTGTCAGTAAACAGGATAGTGAGAACTCTAAAGAGGCAAATACTATCAACTCCAGTAAGAATAGTCGTGTAGGAATAATGGTCTACTGCCCTGTGAGTTCTAGTTTTGTTTGTTTGGTTGGTGCCACCTTTTATAAAGACACAAAAGTCATTTTAATGTCAAAATGTTGTATTTTAATGTATGTTTCAAATCTTTTAAAAAGTTATAAGCAAATCAAGGTTTTTAAATCAAGGTTTTTAAGTGTCAACATATTTTCAAAAGAAAACAGAAATAGCTAAACTTGATAGTGTGAGTCTGTAATCCCAGCTACAGGCTAAGGCAGGAGGATGATAGGATGATATCATCTAAAAAAGTAAGAGTTGATTAGTGGTAGAACACTTGCCACACACATACACACACACACACACACACACACACACACACACACACACACACAGCTCTAGGGCCAATCCTAACTACAAAACAATAACAACCATCTTAACAACTTTTAAGATACTCCCCAAAGCAGGAACAGTTAGAGCAATGAATCTTCAAAATAAAGGAATGCAGCAGTGGTACTTAGAAAACGGTTACTTGGACTACACAAAGAAGCCCTGTCTTGAAAAGAACAAAAAGGGAGGAGGGAGGGAGGGAGGGAAGGGAGGGAGGGAGGGAGGGAGGGAGGGAGGGAGGGAGGGAGCATGGTTTCTCTATGAATGAATAGGGGGGAAGGACCTTTGATAGATGATAAATTCTAAATTATTTGGTTTAAAAAACAAGAACAGTCTTCAAGGCTAGCCTAAACTACACATCAAGTTCCAGGCTAGCCAGGGATACATTTCAGATTCTGCTGAAATTAAAACACACAAGGGCTCCCAGGCATCAGCCTGGGAATCCAGCATGGGACTGATCAAGACCCCCTGAATGTGAGTGTCAGTGAGGAGGCCTAGGTAATCTATTGAGTCTTGGACAGCAGATCAGTACCCATCCCGAGTATACACACGGACTTTGGACTCCCATCCAACAATGTGAGGTGCACTCTCATCCTGAACTCTTGGGGAAGGGTCTAGGCCTTGCCCTGGATGAAATGACAGACTATGGACACCCCCATGGAGGGCCTCACCCTCCCTGGGGAAATGAGGGGATAATGGGGGGGTTGGGGGGAGGGCACAGGAGGAGGGGAGGGAAAGGGAGAGGGACCTGGAACTGACTTGTGAAGCAACCTTGTTTCTTATCTAAATTTAAACTGAAAAATAAATTTAAAAAAAAAACACACAAGGGCAGAGGGGCAGGCAGGGATAAACCAAAGCATAAATTGAGACCAACGTATGAAAAATTATTCTGGAGGAACTTTCTTCAGCTCTCAGCTGTTCAAACATGGGAACAAGCTGCCTGGAAAGCTATGAATGGGGCTGTTAGTCACAGGCTGTCTCAACACTTGACAAGGATATGTAAAGACAAGAAAAGAAAAAGAGCAGCCACGTGGAGTAGCACACAAAAAAGCCCAGACTGCACCTAGACAGATTTAGACCTCAGTTCTTCATCACCATGACTGTGTAGCTGATGGCCTCAAGCTACTTCCTTAAAGTTCTACTGCAGTCAGTCTCCTGTACTACAAGGTTGAAGATTAGAACAATTTTGTCTGCTCAAGAAATAGACATAGTGCAGCCGGGCATTGGTGGCACATGCCTTTAATCCCAGCACTTGGGAGGCAGAGGCAGGCGGATCCCTGTGAGTTCGAGGCCAGCCTGGTCTACAAGAGCTAGTTCCAGGACAGCCTCCAAAGCCACAGAGAAACCCTGTCTGGAAAAACCAAAAAAAAAAAAAAAAAAAAAAAGAAATAGATATAGTGCTAAGCCCTGAATACCAAACCAGATACAACCTCTGTCAGAGGACAACTTCCAGTAGTAGGTTCTCTCTGTCCACCTTAGGTTCTAAGGATCAAACTTAGGTCACTAAGCTTGCAATGCAAACACTTTCACCCACTGAATTATTGTGATAGCCCGGAATTCAGTGGTTAATGACACAAGTAGAATACTATAATGTGCCTGTTAAATGCTCAAAAAAAAAAAAAGAAGCTGCTACTAATTATAATTTATTTTTTAATATTTATTTATTTATTACATATACACCAGATTGAATTGTAGATGGTTGTCAGCCACCATGTGGTTGCTGGGAATTGAACTCAAGACCTCTGGAAGAGCAGTCAGTGCTCTTAACCTCTGAGCCATCTCTCCAGCCCCCTATAATAATTTATTATTGATTAGATTGGATAACCTTTAAAATAATAATCTCTAAGAATCTATGTCACTTTTGAGACATATCTCATTCTCAGAAAAGTCCTTTCCCAGCATAGGCCCAGCTATCCCGCACAGAATATTCATTTTTAATTAACAGACTGCCCTAGAACTCTCACCTGAGCTCCACTACACAATGGTCATAACACAAACTTTTATTAGTTTTCACAGACACACATGTACAAAGGCCTGACTAATAACTGTAAAATAAGGAACTATACTTCACTTGGTCACTATTCACTAACATATTTTTGATGAAGGAAAGACTCTAGGCAACTCTATTGGGATAATTTTCTAAGATAGTTAAGAGTTTAATGCACTAGCTAGGTGTGGTAGCACATTACTAATACCAGCACTAGGGAGGCAGAGGCAGGTGGATCTCTGAGTTGGGCCAGCTTGGTCTACATAATAAGTTCCAGGATAGTCAGCTATGTAGAGAGATCCTGCCTTAAATAAGCAAATAAATTAATAAAAAGTTTAATACACATTATGTTTTCCTTTTTAAACTATTACTGAAAACATTAAATATCATCATAAACAAAACATTCTGCCTTCCAGACTACTGCCAATCAAACACACTCTGCTTCCTAAACTTTTCAATTCATAATGAACAAGTTGTATGATATTTAGCCCTCTCAGGAAAGTAGTAATTTTTAAAACAGAATGACAAAGATATGCAACTGTGAAGACAGTATATACCTCATCAGCTCTCACTCTTTTAAAATGGACACATCATATGCATTCTTAACACTGAGCAAAAAAATCTCACTTCATACAGCTACCTAGACAACTGGTAGCTTCTGAGTCTAGGGGCTGGGGCAATTAGGTACCATGAGCAGCTTTTGAAACTCATAGTTTTCTACCAATGGCCTGATATAAAACATTATAAAAGGCCAGGCCTGGTGGTATAACCACCTTTAATGTCAGCACTGGAGTAGAAGAGGCAGGTAGAGCTCTGTGAGTGAGGCCAGCCTGGTCTACCAGAAATCTGTTACATCAAGAAATCCTGTCTTAAAAAAACAAAAAACACTCTCTATGATAGTATCATTTCCTGAGTCATTTCTCTTTTTTCTCTTATTGAAACACTGTTCAAGAACACTATGGTTCATGCTCAGAGTAATCCTTGAATCTTACATACTATTGACTTTAAATGAACAATATAGCTTAATTAGGACACCTTTATGTACCTCAGACATTGAAATTTTAAACCTTTAATTTAAAGCTATTCTAGAAACTTTCAAAAGCAAAAAAGGTAGAAGTGTAGTTCATCTCTCTAAACTACATCTGAAGGTTATTCATTAGAAAGCTCTCTTTGCAGACTGGGAGCATAAGCCCATATTGGAGATAACTGCAAGTGCCTCTCAAAGGCCACACCATCACTGTATCACTGTTGAGAAACATGAAAGGTGGAAGGGTGCAAACAAATCTTGCAACCTGACAAAAGGTTTTGTAAGCAGGCAGATTATTTTTTTCTGCTAAAAAAAAAAAGTTACTCCAGTGATTACAAAACACAGAAAATCCAACTTCAACTAAAATTGTCTACAATAGAGAAACTAAAAGAAAAGAGCCGGGCAGTTGTGGCACACGCCTTTAATCCCAGCACTCGGGAGGCAGAGGCAGGCGGATCTCTGTGAGTTCGAGGCTGGGCTGGACCGACAGCCTCCAAAACAATACAGAAAAACCCTGTCTCATAAAACCAAAAAAAAAAAAAAAAAAAAAAAAAAAAGACTGACCTCACACTGGCCCATGGAAAATCACCCTCTAAACCACAACAGCCCAATGATTGAGGTTGCTCCCCCATGTGGAATCCTGCTGCACACAGAGAACTATCAAAGACCTCCTTGTCAGGAAAGCTCTAACTGGATGTCAGTTAGAATGGCACATTTTATGCTGCTCTATAAAGAAAATAATGAGTTCTCTCATTTATTAAGGCCCACAATGTTATCTTCTCATATGCCATTATCCTCATTTCTTGTAATTACTACTTTGCAAAGAAAAAAGCTACAACTCAGACAAGACCATACCCCAGCACAGAGCAGAGAGACTGCAGAAACTGCAGAGACACAAATCTTTCCTAGGTCCAACTTCAAAATCAGCTGCTATACCATCCCTTCCCTCAGGCACTTTGTGGTCAAAGATAGAATCCATTTCCTCCTGCAGTTAATCCGATAAAAATATTCTGGGTGCTGTGAGTCTCTGCAGGGGAAATAATAATCAGGTTCCTCTCAAACAAGTAGAAGAGAAAAAGAACAACTTGCTAGCTAAGGAATGTTCTTAAATTGTAATATCTGAGCTGGGTGGTGGTGGCCTTTAATCCCAGTTCTCTAGAGGCAGATTTTGAGTTCAAGGCCAGCCTGGTCTACAGAGCAAATTCCAGGACAGCCTCCAAAGTCAAAGAGAAAACCCTGTCTTAAAAACAAACAAAAAAAAAAAGTACTGAGTAAAATTCAAAGCCATCTATAACCCTGAGTATGTCCTCTGTCATTCTCCTCTCAATGACTGAGGTAAACTTGAGCTTTTACTTGAAGTAGTCACTGGAGTCATGTGGTAGTGACTTTCCTGGCATGTGACTCTGGGTACTGCACCAAAGGGGTAAAGAAAAAAGTCAAAATACACCCTGTAGACTAAATATTCATAAGGTTGGGACAAGAGGATCCCAAGTTAGAGACTAGCTTGAGCTACATAGGAAGACCTTGCCTTTATTTTTATTTCATTTTAATTAGTTTATTTATTTAGAGAGTCTCTATCTGAGTCTGACCTCAAACTTCTGAGCCTTCTTCCTTCTCTACCTTCTGGGTGCTGGGATTACAACTATGTATCACCAGGTCCAGTTTATTAGATGCTAGCAATCAAGTCCAGGAATACTTCATACTAGGCTCATACTCTTAACAACTGACCTACATCCCCAGCCAAAGAACCTGCTGTGTTCTCTACCACCAGCAAGTCACTGCTTCCACAGGTGAGGCAATGCTGTCCAATGGAATGAAGTCAGCTATCCAGTGACTGAGGACAGACATGGCTTGTCTCTGCAAAGCTAAGTGACCTTGACAAGGTTCTCTCACTCTTTAGGACCTCAACACAAAGAACATGCCTAAAAATAGCTGCAGTTAACTTTCTGAACTAAAATGCATGCATTTTTCTTTTCCACAAAAGCTATATATGGTACTAAGTAATATAGACTTTAAAAATAAAGGCTCTAGCCAAGTGGTGGCACATGCCTTTAATCACAGCTCTTGGGAGGCAGAAGCAGGCGGATATCTGTGAGTTCTAATACTGCCAGGGCTACACAGAAAAACCCTGCCTGAAAAAAAGGACAAAATAAATAAGGGCTCCAGCAGGTCATAGTGGCATCCACCTTTAATCCCAGCATTCAGGAGGAAAGAGGTGGATCTCTATGAGTACTAGGTCAGTCTGGTTTATATAGTGAGACCCTATTAAAAATAAAAATAAAATATAAAATAAGCACCAGGCTAGCAAGATGGTTCACCAAATAAGACCTCTTGCCACAAAGTCGGAGGAGTGGAACGCAACACATGAATTTCACATGGTGGAAGGAGCAGAACATATACCCACAAGCTGTCCTCTGACCTCAAGCATGCTATGGCTCACACAGCCAATACACACAATAAATAAAAAGCAAGAGCTCCAAGATACAAACATGGTGGGATCCTCTGGGTAATCTCATCAGCTATCAGGAGTGAAAGGAATCAACTATACAGTGAGTTCAAGGGTAGCCTGGACTACATGAGACCTTGTCTCAAAAGAAAAAAAGGAAAGTGAAGAGGAGGAGAGAGATGTAAGAGGAGGAACTCTATAGTGTAGGAATTGAGAATTACAGACCTGTTTCTGGATCTGGACTCGGTCACTTACTAGCTGTGAATTTAGGTAAATTCCTAGTGGCTTCGGTTTGCTTTTAGAGTCTCATCATATTGTATTGACTGACATCAAACTCCTGCCCATGGGAACGCCAGTAACACCACACCAGGGACAGAGCACCTGGCTCCAGCAAATAATTCAACTACTTCCTCAAAGAATGAGAATAGCACTATTATCTGTGTGACATAAAATGTACATATACCCCAGCTAGTACAAAGTAAGCACTCAATACAAGGTAGAAGTAGCTAGCTCTATTATTCCTGAGTTTGATTCACAGACCATATATGATTCAGCACACGCCTTTAATCCCAGCACTCCGGAGGGAGGGAGGGAGGGAGGGAGGGAGGGAGGGAGGGAGGGAGGGAGGGAGAGAGAGAGAGAGAGAGAGAGAGAGATTTCAGGGATGGGGGTGTAGCTCAACTGGTAGTGTTTGTCTATCATGCACCAAGCCCTGACCCTATATTCTTCTAAGCGCAGGAAAATTTCATATGAAACATCTCAAAACTGGCAGGATCGGGGACTGGAGAGATGGCTCTTCCAGAGGTCCTGAGTTCAATTCCTGGCAACCATATGGTGGCTCACAACCACCTTGAATGAGCTCTGATGCCCTCTGCTGGCACGCAGGCAGAAGATTGGACACATACTATTAATAAATAAAATATTTTTAAAAAACTGGCAGGATCCCAAACCCTGTAACCCTTAACTTCCCAATTATGCAAATACCTTCCAGAGCCTACTTAATGCAAGGCTAAATTTGGCATTCAGTGTCTAAAACATGACACACCTATCCAGTAGGATCCCTTTTTCTGTTTACCTGTTTCTCACACCCCATGCCAGGACCCAGAATGTACTCTGGGGCCCCACCCAAATCCTCCGGGTTTCAACTTTAATTTTACAGCAGAATACTTAATCTGGTTGTGTGTTTTTGGTTCTCAGGCCCTCTAATCCCGTACCAGACACTCAGACTTCTATTCAGAGTCATTGCCAAAATGGTTCACGCTCCATATCTAGCACCCCTTGATCTCGAAGACCCTTGTTCTGTAACCAAGGGCTTGCACGCCCCCATCTTGAAGCTGGCTGAGTGCCTCTGGAATTAGGAGTGCCCCCTTTTGCAGCCCATAAACCAGACTAGCACTCTTTCTCCTTAGGGCCTCCGGCTTCGCCCCGGAGTCTCCTCGCCACAGTGGCATTAGAGGGATGGTCGCCCCGACAGCCTGAGTCTGAGCGGCTTAGCTAGCATCCAGACAGCCGCCAATTCCTTCATCACCCCCCAGGCCGGAGCCGGCGTGACCAATAAGGTGCCAGGTCCGCGGCCTCCCCGCCGCCGACCAATCACGAGCGAGCCCCCCCGCAGTCGCCTTCCGCCAATGGGAGAAAGCCCGCGGGCCCAGGCGCACGGACCCCGCGAGCGCAGCCGCGGCGACAGCGGCGGGCCCGGCGAAGACACAACATGGCGGCGGCAGGCCCGACCGAAGTGCGGCGGCGGCCGCAGAGGAAAGGGAGATCTCCGCCAGAGGCGGCAAGCGCCGCCCCCACCGCTGACCGTCGCCGCCCTCTCCACCCTCCTCGTCCGAGCCCCCATACACTCACAGGCCTCTGCTCCGGAGTCCAGCAAAGAAAGCAGCCGCCCCCGCGCTGCTGCGCCGTCGGGCAATGTAGAGGCCCGGGCGCGGCGAAGGGGAGGGGGAAGCGTGCGTCACGGGAAACGGAGCGCGCGCGGAGCGGGGGCGCAAACAAGATGGCGGCCGCGCCGTTGTACCGTCTCTCCCCCCGCCCCTCCCCCTCTCTCCGCGCCTTGACTCCTAACACCTCGTAGTGCGCAGCGGCTGAGCCTCCTGAAGTCTCGCGAGAATTGAGAAGGGCCGACTGCGGGGGGGGGGGCAAAACGGAATGGTGAGAACTGAGAGTTTTCTGACCCCGCCCCCTTCCCGGGGCTCAGGAGGCGTTTCCTGGTGACCCCCGAGGACGTTCTATCCCTGAAGATCTCTGCTTCGGTGTACGTGCTTCTGAATTTTAGGAAATGCTCTTCTGTGTTTTGTTTTTAAGGGAAATGAATGGTGGGGAAAGAAGGACTTCGCCAGTATTCTAAGTTTAAAAAGTCGCCGGGACCTGACGACCTGAATTCGATCTGTAGAACCCGCGGAAGAAGACTCCTCAAAGTTGTCCTCTGATCTTACGTGCGCCGCAGAGCGTGGTCTCACACACTCCCACACACTGATAAATGTAACTTAAAAACAGAACCAAGAAGGTGATGACATTTTCAAACCTGAGAATTGACATAAAAGATTAAAGATGGATTTGGGAGGTGGCTCAGTAAAGTGCTTGCCACAATCATGAAAACCTGAATTAGATCCCAACGCCATAGCACAGGTGTTAGCATTCAGGCATTAAGCTGGCCCACCCATAATTACAGGGCGGGAAAGGAAACTAGCCAACCTGCTGAATTGCCTAAATCAGCAATCTCCCAAGTTAAGTTCGAGGCCCAGTCTATAAAAAATAGGTTAGGGTCAGGCGTGGTGGTACATACTTTTAAACCTGGGAGGCAGAAGCAAGAGAATCTCCTTGAGTTCAACACAGCCTTCTCTACAAATCCAGTCCCAGTCCTGCAGAGCTACATAGTGACACCCGGTGTCAAAAAAAAAAAGCGGGGGTGACCAGGAGGTTGGTGGCGCACACCTTTAATTCCAGCACTAGAGGCAGAGGCGGGCAGATTTCTGAGTTCGAGGTCAGCCTAGTCTACAGAACGAGTTCCAGAACAGGCCCCAAAGCTACAAAAAAAAAAAAAACCCAGTCTTAAAAAAAAGAAAAAAATGGGGTGGAGTTGCCATTGAAGACGTCTAGATGTTGCCTTCTGCCCCATATTTGTACACACGTACACACACACACTGTAGGACTAGGTGCGGTGAAACACGCTTCTGATCCTAGCACTCAGGATGCTGAAACACAGGCACACTATGGAAGCCGGCCATTTGCGGGGGTTGGTAGTATTTCACCATTTTACTTTGTTTTGGACAGTCTTGCTATAACTGGTTGTAGTCCACTCTGGCCTTAAACTCAGCAAAATCTTTCTTGCTTAGCCTTTGTGGTCCTGGGATTACAGACATAAACCACGGTGCCCAGCTCAAAAAAGACATTTTTTACTGAAAACCCCTAATTGTATGTTGACTATGCTGTTGATGTAGCTGAGGAGTGAAGTAATTAAAATGCTTAAGGCCCTAGGATATACTCCAGCACCAGAAGGAAAAGGAGGCAGGCCTGAGAGCATGGCTCAGAGTGCTTGCCTGGTATAGAAGCATTGGGTTCAACCCCCAGCCTGGCATAAAACCCGGTGTGGTGGTACATGCCTTTAATCCCAAGACTCTGGCTGTGAAAGTAGAAAGATTAGTGTTAAATGTCAACCCCCCAGCCGGGCGTTGGTGGCGCACACCTTTAATCCCAGCACTCGGGAGGCAGAGGCAGGCGGATCTCTGTGAGTTCGAGGCCAGTCTGGTCTACAGAGCGAGTTCCAGGACAGTCTCCAAAGCCACAGAGAAACCCTGTCTCGAAAAACCAAAAAAAAAAAAAAAAAAAAAAAAAAAAGTCAACCCCCCTACCCTACCCCACCCAAGACAAATGGCAGACCTGGCTTCCAGGTTCTCTCGGCATCCCTCAGTCCCTATCTGTTACAGGGTACAGCTGGCATGTCCCCACCTTCTACCGGGAACTCTCCAGCTCAGGAACTGAGCTGCCCTTCCCACAGAGGATCTTTCCTATATAACCCAGACCCTTTTGTACCTTTGGCCTCCTGGCTGCTGCATGCATGTGTTTATCATACACACACACACAAAGCCTTATGTCCACTCTGGGACTCTCAGATGTCCCTGCCACTACCTACACTCTCACTTTTATCTATAATTAATGTTTTCTTCCACCATATATAAGAGTAGGCATGTCCTTTCTTTTCCTTGTTATTTTTTTTTTCATTCAATCAGAAGTTCAAAATCAAGTCAACTAAATGGTTCAGCCAATAAAGGCACTTGTCTCCAATGAGATAACGAGAAATCAGTGCCTGAGGTCCGTGTGGTGGACAGAACAGACTCCGGTGGTTTTCCCATATGTGTACTGTGTTACATGCATCCCCCCGCACAAATACACATACACAGAGATCCAGATGTTGAAGGTAACTCTGCTATATTTAAGGAGTGGGGATCGATACAGAAAAATAAACCTAGCTAAACAGAAAAACTTGATAAGTATGCCAATGTTCATTAGAAAATTATATCTGTGAAAACTGCATGAAACAGCTCAAATTATTAGAGATTATTATACTGTAATCATGTATGGACAGTGTATAGTGGCTACAGATAATTTCCCTTCAGAGCCTGAAAATGAGGTTGCTATTAGAATTGAACTAAATGCAAGCCTATATAGTAGAGGAAATTAGCCAACAGCTACCTACTTAAGAAAGAATGCTGACAGTTGGTTCAGCAGTTAAGACTGTGTATTGCTCTTGCAGAGGACCTGAATTCAGTTCCCAGCACACATGGGGGAGCTCACAACCCCCTGCAACTCCAGCTCTAGGGGATCCAATGCCCTCTTTGGGACTTCACAGGTTACCTGCACATGCCCACACATAGACACATAAAATTAAAAATAATAAAAAGAAGTCCACTTAGAGTGGGCATGTAATTCCATGTATTCAATGTGCATAGCGCCCTGGGCTAGATCCCCAGCACAGAAATGGTAGGAGGGAGAAAAGGAAGAGTCCGCCGGGCGTTGGTGGCGCACACCTTTAATCCCAGCACTTGGGAGGCAGAGGCAGACGGATCTCTGCGAGTTCGAGGCCAGCCTGGTCTACAAAAGCTAGTTCCAGGACAGCCTCCAAAGCCACAGAGAAACCCTGTCTCGAAAAACCAAAAAAAAAAAAAAAAAAAAAAAAAAGGAAGAGTCCATATAGGGTCCTAAAGGTATCCCATGCTACTTTTTAACCCTTTCACTTGCGGGTCTCTGAATACTAACTTGCAAGGACCACAGAGAAGGGAGTTAGCAGAAGGCCAGGGAACAGGAGCTATTTACTAAAGTGTTTTGGTATTGTAGTGACCAGTATTATAACATAACAATATGGTAGGCACAGGAGAAGAACAGGAGTCCTTGCTGTGGACTGGGTTATTATCAATAGTCTTTGTACCTCCCTTTCTAAAATCCTTCCTGCGTGGCAAGTTCCTAGGGAATTGTACTTCAAACCTTAATCTCAGTAAGTGTGGCCTTGTTCTGACGTTTGGATGGCTAGATGGTTGGATTTTTGTTGTTGTTCTTGGTTTGTTTTTAATTTAAAATTTTAAGTTTGTGTATTTGTGACATGTACATGTGTGTACATGTTCGTGTAAACATACTCACATGCAGGTGGAAGCCGTAGTGCGCCTTCCTCCACTGCTCTCCACTCCCACGGATGCCGACGTTCATAGTTGGGATAGAGTGGCTGGCTAGAAAGCTCAAGGGATCAGCCTGCCTCAGTGCCACCTATGCTGCATTAGAGATGTGCACCATGACATCTGGCTTTTACACAGGTGCTGAGAATTCAAAGGCAATTCTTCATGATTCCAAAGCAAACACTTCATCCACTGAACTGTCTCCCCAGCCTGGATTTTTGTCGTGGTTTTTATTTGCTTGGTTTTAGACAGTGTCTCAAGTATCCCAGGTTAATATCTAACTTGCTATGTAGTTGAGGATGACCTCAAACGCCTGATCTTCCTATCTCTACCTCCAAAGTGCTTAGATTACATGCATGAGAAAAGATGCCCACCTCAGTTTTGTTTTGTTTGAAACATGGTCAAAACTCTCTTCTCTCCACCTCTCTGGTGCCAGGCATGTGACACCAACTTAGCATTGTTTTGATCAAGGAAATACAACAAAAGGCTGGAGATGTGACTAGCAGAGTGTTTGCCTACTTCTTACCTGGCATGCACAGAGCCTTAGAGCCAGTCAGTACTTAGAAATATGAGGGGAGACAGGGCTTCCTGTAACCCAGATTAGCCTTGAACTTGCTGTGTCATCAAAGATAACCTTCAACTTCTCTCCTACTTCTGCCTCCCAAGTGATGGCATGAAACCCTTCCAAGCAGAAATTTATGAACTGTCCATGCTCCTGCCGTATTATTTTTCTCTTGTCATGAGAACAGCACATCACAAATAAATCTTCTCCAAGAATTAAAATGAACAGAGTCACAGCTAATGCATATGATATATAATGTCATTTGAGCAAGAAATAAATCTCTGTTTTTTTAAAACACTGTGATTTCTTTGGCTGTTGCCACAGCTCTCTGGGAATAAGTCAAGAACTTATCTACAAATATGATCACAAAGCAAACTCTGGTGAAGTCATATAGGAAGAATTTCAAAGAAGGCAAGTGTGAATATAATTTAAGAAACAGAAGCTTAATTGGTTTTGTTCAGTGATTCACTTTAGCCCTGTTTGGAAAGATTCTTTGAGGAAAAGGCTTGATCAACAGTGGCATCCCAAAACAATGTAGCCCTAAAAAGTAACTGTGGTGGTTTAAATGTAATTGGCTCTATTCTCTGATCTTCAGTCAAGCTTTATTTGTACAAGCAAGATATCACCACAATAAGGAGTAGCACTATTAGGAGGCCTGGCTTTGTTGGGGTGGATATGACCTTGTTAGAGGAAGTGTGTCATTGTTGGGGAGATGTTCTTTTTGGTTCCAAATGCTCAGGATACCGCCCAATGAGTCAGTCAACTTCCTCTTGCTTCCACTATGTAGGACTCTTAGCTACTCCCCCAGCATGCATACTGCCATGGTGATAATGGACTGAATCTCTGAAACAGTAAGTGAACCACCACAATTAAATGTTTCCTTTATAAAAGTTGCCATAACTGGGCAGCGGTGACGCATGCCTTTAATCCCAGCACTCGAGAGGCAGAGGCAAGCGGATCTCTGTGAGTTCGAGGCCGGGCTGGTCCGACAGCCTCCAAAACAATACAGAGAAACCTTGTCTTGTAAAACCAAAACCAAAAAAAACAAAAAAACAAAAACAAAACAAAACAAAAAAAGAGTTGCCATAATCATGGTGTCTCCTCACAACAATAAAACTAAGACAGTAGCAGACCAGCCTGGTCTACAAAGTGAGTTCCAGGACAGCCTCCAAAGCCACAGAGAAACCCTGTCTCAAAAAAAAAACAAAAAAATAAAAAATAAAACTAAGACAGGCAGTAGCATTAGCACCGGACTTATATATTATAAAATTTATTAGAGTGGCTTACAGTCTGTGGTCCAGCTAATCCAACAGTGCTGTCTCCCAACAGAAAGAATCCAG